CAAATATCTCGGACGAGCCCGCTCGATCAACGGAATCTACGTCCTCGACTTCGACGTACCTTCCTGCCAAGCTTCATCCGACGAGCTCGTGGACCTCGTCCCTCTCGAGTTCGCCTACGTGAGCAAATGGGAGCACCCAGACGGACGGCCATGGGTTCGCCGCAGTCCTCATCCCTGCGAAATCAACCTGCACGACCCAGACATCAATGGTCTCTGCACCACCTGCCACACACCCACGGCGAGCCGCACAGAGCAAGTCGAAAAGGAGTACGCGGAAATTCAGGAGGCGGAGAGTGCCGAGAAAGAACCTACTGGCATGACACAAGAAGAACTTGCCGTGACAACTCATCGCATCTTCCGCGAACCAAACTATGACTTCGGGCAACTACGTGTCGAACGACCGACACCATATGGAGAGACGCTCCGGTTCGTCATGGAAGCTAACACCACCACCTTCGACGACGATGGACGACCGCGTCCTTACACCCGCGAAGTTTACCGCCGCGAAATTGACCCGGCTTGGAAGGATCCCGACGCAGCAGAGGAGCTGAGCGTCAAGGAAGAAGAAGACAAGGCACGGGCGGAGAAGAAACAGAAACTGTTTGAGGAACGTGTCGCGGCTGGATGGGATGAGGAGTCCGCACGACGAGGCGCATGGGGAGACGAGGATTACGAACCAGAAGAAGGCGCAACCTGGGGATCCGCCACTGGAGCATGGGGAGCCAGCGCCAGCGGTACGGTCACCACGGGAGGATGGGGCAACACCTGCGGATGGGGAGGAAACGAATACGTGGACGCTCCAATCACCAAAGAAGAAGAAGAAGAGATGGAACGCGAGATGCAAGCTGAGCGTGGAGAACCATCCCCTCGTGTCGCCATTCCACTCGGTCGACCCCCGCGCACCCGCTCACCTCCCTCCTCGCCCTATCGTTGGCGTGATCGTTGGTCGGAGATTGAGGAGGGGAATGTACCACCAACTCCTCCGCGGGACTCACTTGGTCCAATCTCCCGCCCAGATCCTTTCGCTCGTTTCATTGAAGGAACCACGACTCCGCTCACTATCATTCCCGACCGTGACTTTCTCGCCCTCTACCTCACAACGGCACCTGCAGAAGGGGAGACACCGGCGGAAGCAGAAGCAGAGGAGCCGGACAACGAAGCGGAACCAGGAGAAGAGGAAGAACCCCCACTCCAGATCCCGCAAGTTACGGAAGCAGAGGCAGCAGAACACTACGCTCGCTACAAGCGCACTTCCGGCATTCGCGCCGAAGATGATCTCTGGCACCAGCGTCTGGGACACCCCTCGCGCCAGACCCTCGCCAACTGCCTCCGCGCAAAAGTTTTCCCGCCAGGAGCACTGCTGCGCCCCGACGGAACAGAACCGCACAACACCCCTCACCCAGTCACTTGCACTGTCTGCCCCACAGCTGCGCTCTCCCACAGCGCCTACCCTTCTCTTGAGCCGAGCACCAACCGTTACAAGAAGCTGGAGAAAGTATACAGCGACTTTATTGTACTCACCTGCGATGGTATCAACGGCGAGAAATATACCCTCACCTTCATCGACGCCTACTCACGCCATGTGTGGATCGCCAACGTCGACGCCCGCTCCAAGGCTCCGGAAGTGTTCCGCATCTTCCTCGTGCACGCGCAGCGACAGTCAGGAAGGAAGCTGAAGATCTGGCAGAGTGATGGGGCCAAGGAATTTCGCAGCAACGAGCTGGAGAGTGTCCTTACCGAGAAGGGGATCAAGCATGAGATTTCTCTCCCCTACGCTCACCAGCAGCAAGGTGTCGCAGAGAGGGTCAACCGCACCCTCATGACAAAAGTGCGCGCCCTCATGAACCAGTCCGGTCTGCCGAAGAAGTACTGGCCCTACGCCATGAACCACGCGGTGCGCCTGCACAACCTCCTCTCCACCACCGCTAACAGGGACAATCTGTCCCCTCACATGAAGTGGACCGGCTCAAGGGGAGACCCCTCCATGCTGAGGGTCTGGGGGTGTATGGTGCAGTACCGGCCTACATCGGCCACCATTGGCAAGTTCGCTCACCGCGTACGCTGGGGGATTCATTTGGGCCTCAGTAACGAGCACAAGGGCTGGCTCATCCTCGACATGGATAGCAAGGAAGTTGTTCCCGCGCGCGACATTCTCTTCTACGAACGGCTCACCTTGATGCAATGGATCGAGGACGAGCGGCGGAACGAGGCACGCGGCTACGTCAACAGCGGTCGCAGCTTTGCGACTCCAGAAGACGAGGCAGCAGCAGCAGCACTGGACCGCGACGACACCGACGACCATCCCAACATCCCGCCTCGCCCGCGCAACGACGACGACGATGACAGTGACGACGATCCCGCGCCAGGTCCGTCACGGCGCCAAGAAGAGGCAAGCACTGCATCGCCCGGCTACAAAAGCGGAGACGACGACGTAGTGGAAGTTCCCACCAACACAGACACCACCAACGTGTCCGGCCTGCAACTACTCGGCCTGCACACGTCCGTCACTACCCTCGCACGGGCCGTGGAGCCAAAGAATCCTCGCCAGGCCCTGACCGGCCCGCATGCCAAGGAGTGGCGTGCAGCGATGGATGCGGAGCTGAAAGCGCTGGAATCTCGAGACACGTGGGTCCTAGTCGATCGTGCAGCAGTGAAGGGGAGGAGGGTACTCAGCGGAAAATGGGTTTTTCGCCTGAAGTCTAACGCTGACGGAACCATCGAGCGATTCAAGGCATGCTGGGTCGTACGTGGGTACGATCAGCGCCACGGCATCGACTTCGACCAGACCTTCGCTCCCGTCAGTCGTCACACCTCCGTCAGGATTCTACTCGCCATTGCCGCCGCTAAACACCTACCACTACGACAGATCGACGTGAAGAACGCGTTTCTATATGCGTTGGTGGACGCTACCATCTTCGTGGAGCAGCCTCACACCTACGGAGAAGGGGATCCTAGGGTCTGCCAATTGAAGAAGTCCCTCTACGGGATCAAGCAGGCGCCACGTCTCTGGCAGCAGCATCTGCACAAAATTCTCCTGGAGATCGGTTTCAAGCAGCTGCCGCACGACCCGGGAATGTATCGCCTTCACTTCAGCGGCGATTACATCCTCCTGACAGTCTACGTCGACGATCTGCTGTACACGGGCACCTGCAACAAACTCCTTAACCAGTTTGAGGAGAACCTGGCGCAGCGCGTGGACATCACTATCAACCACAACGTGAAGCAATTTTTGGGGCTGAACATCACCTACGCGCCAGAAGCAATTCACCTGTCAGCCTCCAAGTACGCAGAGCAGCTGGGGGAACGCTTCAACATCTCACCAGCACCACTCTCAACTCCCTACCGCAACCCCAGCGCCAACTACAAACCGGACAACAAACCTCTGTCACCCGCAGGGCTCCAAACGTACCAGCAGAAGTTGGGGTGCCTGCTATTCGCCTCTGTCACCTGCCGACCTGACCTTTCGTACATCGCTGGCCAACTGGCACAGTATTCCCGCAAGCCAGTAGCTGAGAACCAGCTGGACCTGGAACGCGCCCTGCAGTACTTCATCTCTACACCTGACATTGGGCTCTCCTACTCCACGCTGACAACGACCTCCTTCAACCTCAACGGCTACGTGGACGCAGATCATGCAGCTGACCCTGCAAATCGACGGTCCCAAACCGGCTTCGTCTTTCGCTTGGAACCAACTGGACCAATCTCCTGGAACTCGCAGAAGCAGGAGCTGGTTGCCCTGTCATCGGCTGAAGCAGAATACATTGTCAGAATCAAGCAGCAGGAATGATTGAACTATGAAAGAGTTGGGTACAAGTATGAAACCCTAAAAGGGGCTGTACCGCATATTGGCTACCCCACTACAGCCTATACATATATAACAAGCATATGCTTTGACACACCCCCATAGGCAAAGTGGGGGAGAGCAAGGGGTCACAAGACCAGTCAAGAGAAGCAAAGCAAGCTCAGGGTGGATCACAAAGTCACCACACACACTGAGCACAAGCAAAGGGCCACAAGGCCAGTTCACATGCAGGGGTATATATGCAACAACAACAGCACAGTGATCTCTACCTAGCAGAGCAAGCATGCAGGTATATATAGATCACAGTAGAAGCAAAGTCTACAGCAAGTGAGGAAACGTGGGCACAAGGCCTAACAGAGTGCAGAAACGCTGATGATCACCAGACGGAAGCGCCTTGGTGAATATATCAGCAGTGTTGGCCCGAGTGGCCACGTGAGCAAGACGAACCTGACCACGCTGCTGCAACTCTCGAGCCAGGAAGTAACGCAGAGCAATGTGCTTCGTTCTGTGCTCCAGTCTGTGCTCCTGACACAAGGCAATGGCGGCCTTGTTGTTGACGTACAGCACTGGAGGAGAACGAGGCCGCTCTCCCAAGTCGGTCAGCAGGTAGGTGAGCCAGCGTAACTCCTGTGCAGCCATGGCTGTGGCGTAGATCTCAGCCTCACAACTGGAGCTGAGAACTGACGACGAGCGTGTAGAACGCCAAGAAACGGAACCAGAGCCAAGGCTGAAGGTGTAACCCTGTGACGACCACTGCGTAGCCTGGTCGTCAACCCAAGAAGCGTCTGAGTGCCCAGTGAGGACAACGTCGCTCCGTCCTCCAAGCACGAGCCCCATGCCCGATGTACTGCACAAGTAGCGTAGTACCCTCTTAGCAGCATCCATGTGCACCTTTCGGTGCCGACCAGGAGCCACGTAGCGAGCCAGAAGGCCAAGAGGGTACGCAAGGTCAGGACGAGTGCAGGTCATCAGGTACATGAGGCAGCCCACTAGCTCTGGGTAAGGACCACTCGGCTCTACGGACTCGTCCGAAGGTGGAGCTGAGAGCGAGTGACCTGTAGCCAGAGGAGTGGCCTGTGCCGAGGACCAGGTGAAGCTGAAGCGCTGAAGGACCTGCTGCACCATGTGTGACTGAGTCAGTGTGATGGTGCGGCGTGCTCTGTCCCGGGTGATCCGCAAGCCAAGATAGCTTGTCAGCTCACCCAGGTCTGTGCACGTGTGTCTCTTCTGCAGCTCCGACTTCACGTGGGCGAGAGCCTCAGTGTCAGCAGTGGCAAAGACCAAGTCGTCGACGTACACGAGGATGTAGAACGGCGGCAGCGAAGTGTCGGTGCGCAGAAACAGCGACGGGTCAGCAGTCGACGGAGCAAACCCAAGAGCTGCAAGTGTCGTCCTCAGTGTGTCGTGCCACTCACGTGGCGCCTGGCGGAGACCGTAGACCAGCCGCCTGAGGCTCCACTGGGTACCAGGAGGGAACGACCCAGTGAAGCCAGGTGGGCGGCGCAGCCAGATCTCCTCGTGCAGGCTGCCCTGTAAGAAGGCTGTGCTGAAGTCAAGAGAGTGAAGCTCGTAGTCACGCTGAGCGGCAACGTGCAGCAGCACCCGAAGAGTGGTCATCTTCGGGGTGGGGGAGAAGGTCTGGAAGAAGTCTACTCCCTCTCGCTGACTGAAACCTCGTGCAACGTAACGCGCCTTGAAGGCAGGCGGAGAACCTGGCGGCCGCTTCACCCTGAAAATCCACATGCCACTGACGATGTTCGCCCCAGGTGGGGGAACCTCGTCGACGTAGGTGCCTGTGGACTTCCAGGATGCCATCTCTGCGTCCATGGCTGTCTGCCACTGAGAGGAGTACTCACCCGCGATCGCCTCAGCGTAAGAGCGCGGGGTCGGGATGTCTGGTGCATCCGAGTCTCCCTCAGGGGCAAGCAGCATGGACACGAGATGAGGCGCAGCGGCTGCAAGACACTCAAGGTCCTCCTGCCTGTCCTCAAGGACGTCCGTGCCAAGAGCACACTCACCCCCGACGGACGGAGGACAGACAGACTCAGACTCAGCAACAAGACTAGCGGCGTAGTCTAGACGACAGGCAGCAGCAATGTCAACAAGCTCAGCAACTAAGGCAGACGTAGCAGCAGACTCAAACGACGGGTCAGTGACAACAGTGGCTAGCAGACGCGTGACAGTAGGGTGCTCAGCACGAAACCGGTCAGACTCGGGGTCCGCAACGACAGGCAGAGAAGACGCAGGAGGGGACGGCAGAGGAACACGCTGCGGAGGAGAGGAAGGACGACGGACTACGAGGTGGGTGTCGGGGATAGCCGGCAGACGCGGACGGGGAACACGACGACCGGAACGACCAGAACAGACAGGCGAGACAGGACGCGACGCAGGCTCACGACGCTCAGTAAGACCCCCTAGCTGCTCAGTGTAAGGAGAAGGAGCAGGCAGCGGTGAGCCAGGCTGTAACGGAAGACCAGTAGACGAAGGGAGACTAAGAACCTGGCGAAGCACAGAGTCAGGCGATGGCTGAGACGACGGAGACGGTGGAGCGAAGAACAGGCGCGGCTGTGCAGTGACACCAGCACCAGCAGCTCCAATACCCCCAGCAGCTCCAGCACCTGCAGCAGCTCCAGAACCTCCAGCGCCAGCACCCTCAGCAGCTCCAGACCTCCAGCTCCAGCGCCACCAGCGCCAGTACCTCTAGCAGCTCCAGAACCTCCAGCACCAGCACCTTCAGCAGCTCCAGAACCTCCAGCTCCAGCGCCACCAGCGCCAGTACCTCCAGCAGCTCCAGAACCTCCAGCACCAGCACCCTCAGCAGCTCCAGAACCAGATGCGGAACACTTCCGGAGCCTTGGAGCGGGCGTCGACGTTGGCGATCCACACATGGCGTGAGTAGGCGTCGATGAAGGTGAGGGTATATTTCTCGCCGTTGATACCATCGCAGGTGAGTACGATAAAGTCGCTGTATACTTTCTCCAGCTTCTTGTAACGGTTGGTGCTCGGACCTGGAACGCGCCCTGCAGTACTTCATCTCTACACCTGACATTGGGCTCTCCTACTCCACGCTGACAACGACCTCCTTCAACCTCAACGGCTACGTGGACGCAGATCATGCAGCTGACCCTGCAAATCGACGGTCCCAAACCGGCTTCGTCTTTCGCTTGGAACCAACTGGACCAATCTCCTGGAACTCGCAGAAGCAGGAGCTGGTTGCCCTGTCATCGGCTGAAGCAGAATACATTGTCAGAATCAAGCAGCAGGAATGATTGAACTATGAAAGAGTTGGGTACAAGTATGAAACCCTAAAAGGGGCTGTACCGCATATTGGCTACCCCACTACAGCCTACACATATATAACAAGCATATGCTTTGACACACCCCCATAGGCAAAGTGGGGGAGAGCAAGGGGTCACAAGACCAGTCAAGAGAAGCAAAGCAAGCTCAGGGTGGATCACAAAGTCACCACACACACTGAGCACAAGCAAAGGGCCACAAGGCCAGTTCACATGCAGGGGTATATATGCAACAACAACAGCACAGTGATCTCTACCTAGCAGAGCAAGCATGCAGGTATATATAGATCACAGTAGAAGCAAAGTCTACAGCAAGTGAGGAAACGTGGGCACAAGGCCTAACAGAGTGCAGAAACGCTGATGATCACCAGACGGAAGCGCCTTGGTGAATATATCAGCAGTGTTGGCCCGAGTGGCCACGTGAGCAAGACGAACCTGACCACGCTGCTGCAACTCTCGAGCCAGGAAGTAACGCAGAGCAATGTGCTTCGTTCTGTGCTCCAGTCTGTGCTCCTGACACAAGGCAATGGCGGCCTTGTTGTCGACGTACAGCACTGGAGGAGAACGAGGCCGCTCTCCCAAGTCGGTCAACAGGTAGGTGAGCCAGCGTAACTCCCGTGCAGCCATGGCTGTGGCGTAGATCTCAGCCTCACAACTGGAGCTGAGAACTGACGACGAGCGTGTAGAACGCCAAGAAACCGAACCAGAGCCAAGGCTAAAGGTGTAACCCTGTGACGACCGCTGCGTAGCCTGGTCGTCAACCCAAGAAGCGTCTGAGTGCCCAGTGAGGACAACGTCGCTCCGTCCTCCAAGCACGAGCCCCATGCCCGATGTACTGCACAAGTAGCGTAGTACCCTCTTAGCAGCATCCATGTGCACCTTTCGGTGCCGACCAGGAGCCACGTAGCGAGCCAGAAGGCCAAGAGGGTACGCAAGGTCAGGACGAGTGCAGGTCATCAGGTACATGAGGCAGCCCACTAGCTCTGGGTAAGGACCACTCGGCTCTACGGACTTGTCCGAAGGTGGAGCTGAGAGCGAGTGACCTGTAGCCAGAGGAGTGGCCTGTGCCGAGGACCAGGTGAAGCCGAAGCGCTGAAGGACCTGCTGCACCATGTGTGACTGAGTCAGTGTGATGGTGCGGCGTGCTCTGTCCCGGGTGATCCGCAAGCCAAGATAGCTTGTCAGCTCACCCAGGTCTGTGCACGTGTGTCTCTTCTGCATCTCCGACTTCACGTGGGCGAGAGCCTCAGTGTCAGCAGTGGCAAAGACCAAGTCGTCGACGTACACGAGGATGTAGAACGGCGGCAGCGAAGTGTCGGTGCGCAGAAACAGCGACGGGTCAGCAGTCGACGGAGCAAACCCAAGAGCTGCAAGTGTCGTCCTCAGTGTGTCGTGCCACTCACGTGGCGCCTGGCGGAGACCGTAGACCAGCCGCCTGAGGCTCCACTGGGTACCAGGAGGGAACGACCCAGTGAAGCCAGGTGGGCGGCGCAGCCAGATCTCCTCGTGCAGGCTGCCCTGTAAGAAGGCTGTGCTGAAGTCAAGAGAGTGAAGCTCGTAGTCACGCTGAGCGGCAACGTGCAGCAGCACCCGAAGAGTGGTCATCTTCGGGGTGGGGGAGAAGGTCTGGAAGAAGTCTACTCCCTCTCGCTGACTGAAACCGCGTGCAACGTAACGCTCCTTGAAGGCAGGCGGAGAACCTGGCGGCCGCTTCACCCTGAAAATCCACATGCCACTGACGATGTTCGCCCCAGGTGGGGGAACCTCGTCGACGTAGGTGCCTGTGGACTTCCAGGATGCCATCTCTGCGTCCATGGCTGTCTGCCACTGAGAGGAGTACTCACCCGCGATCGCCTCAGCGTAAGAGCGCGGGGTCGGGATGTCTGGTGCATCCGAGTCTCCCTCAGGGGCAAGCAGCATGGACACGAGATGAGGCGCAGCGGCTGCAAGACACTCAAGGTCCTCCTGCCTGTCCTCAAGGACGTCCGTGCCAAGAGCACACTCACCCCCGACGGACGGAGGACAGACAGACTCAGACTCAGCAACAAGACTAGCGGCGTAGTCTAGACGACAGGCAGCAGCAATGTCAACAAGCTCAGCAACTAAGGCAGACGTAGCAGCAGACTCAAACGACGGGTCAGTGACAACAGTGGCTAGCAGACGCGTGACAGTAGGGTGCTCAGCACGAAACCGGTCAGACTCGGGGTCCGCAACGACAGGCAGAGAAGACGCAGGAGGGGACGGCAGAGGAACACGCTGCGGAGGAGAGGAAGGACGACGGACTACGAGGTGGGTGTCGGGGATAGCCGGCAGACGCGGACGGGGAACACGACGACCGGAACGACCAGAACAGACAGGCGAGACAGGACGCGACGCAGGCTCACGACGCTCAGTAAGACCCCCTAGCTGCTCAGTGTAAGGAGAAGGAGCAGGCAGCGGTGAGCCAGGCTGTAACGGAAGACCAGTAGACGAAGGGAGACTAAGAACCTGGCGAAGCACAGAGTCAGGCGATGGCTGAGACGACGGAGACGGTGGAGCGAAGAACAGGCGCGGCTGTGCAGTGACACCAGCACCAGCAGCTCCAATACCCCCAGCAGCTCCAGCACCTGCAGCAGCTCCAGAACCTCCAGCGCCAGCACCCTCAGCAGCTCCAGACCTCCAGCTCCAGCGCCACCAGCGCCAGTACCTCTAGCAGCTCCAGAACCTCCAGCACCAGCACCTTCAGCAGCTCCAGAACCTCCAGCTCCAGCGCCACCAGCGCCAGTACCTCCAGCAGCTCCAGAACCTCCAGCACCAGCACCCTCAGCAGCTCCAGAACCTCCAGCTCCAGCACCACCAGCGCCAGCACCTCCAGTAGCTCCAGAACCCTCAGCGCCAGCTCCTCCAGGACCAGCTCCACCAACAGCAGCACCCCCAGAACCGGCACCTCCAGTCCCAGGGTCTCCAGTCTCAGTGCCTCCAGCAGCAGCACCCTCAGGCTCAGCACCTCCAGCCCCAGCAGCTCCAGTACCTCCAGTACGAGCACCTCCGTGACCAGCACCACTCCCAGCTCCAGTAACGTCAGTAGAAGTACCTCCAGCGGCAGAGCCCCGAGCTCCAGAAGCGCGACCCTGACGGCTACCGTACCAGTCGTGCAGCTGCTGCGAGGTGAGAGGCACACGCGGACGAAGGCGGCTACTCCAAGGAAACCGCGCAACAGCAGACTCAGAACCCTCAGCGCCAGTACCCGCAGCAGCTCCAGAACCTCCAGCGCCAGCACCCTCAGCAGCTCCAGAACCTCCAGCTCCAGCGCCACCAGCGCCAGTACCTCCAGCAGCTCCAGAACCTCCAGCGCCAGCACCCTCAGCAGCTCCAGAACCTCCAGCAGAAACAACTCCAGTGGCAGAGTCACCAGCTCCAGCGCCTCCCGCAGCAGGGCCCCTAGCTCCAGCAGCGCGACCTTGACGGCCAGCGTACCACTCAAGCAGCTGCTGTGGGGAGAGAGGGAGTCGACCACGAGAGTGCAGCGGCGAGGCACCAGCGGAGCGACTACGGAGACGGTCGCCCCAGGGAGACTGCTCACCTGACGCCTCAGCGCCCCTAGGCTCAGCACCCCCAGACTCCTCACACCCAGGCTCAGCACCTCCAGTCTCCGCACCCCCAGGCTCCGCACCTCCAGGCTCCGCACCCCCAGGCTCAGCACCCCCAGGCTCCGCACCCCCAGGCTCAGCACCCCCAGGCTCCGCACCCCCAGGCTCAGCACCCCCAGAAGCAGCAACCCGAGCAGGACCACCCTCAGCAGGACCTGAGTCACCAGTGACCTCAACCGGCTCAGTCAAGGGAGGAGGGTCTACCTGAGACACACCTGAAGGAGCAGGACCGGGAGCGGAGAGGGGGTCTACCTGGGGAGCACCTGGAGCGAGGAAGAGCGGCGGGGGGGGGAGAGGGGCAGTGCGGTAGGGGGAGAGACGGTAAAAGGGAACCGACTCGTCGAACGTGACGTCCTGAGAGGGGAAGACACGACGCGAGGTGGGGTGGTAAAACTGCCAACCAGGCGCGTCACGGACAAAGCCAAGGAAGACACAGGGAACAGCGCGGGCGGAGAGCTTGTCCGCGGTGGTATCGCAGACAAAGGCACGAGCACCCCAGACCCGGAAACGCGACGCATCGCCAACCTTCCCCGTCCACAGCAGTGTGGGCGAGGTCTCCGGCAAGGAGACACGGGGCCAAAGGTTGAGCTGATGCGCGGCGTACCGGACCGCAAACGGCCACAGAAAATGGGGGGCAGCCGCATGGATCATGGAGGTACGAGCGACCTCCATGACTAAGCCAATGCGGCGCTCAGCAACCCCATTCTACTGCGGAGAGGCCGGAAGTGTGAACGACTGGCGGATGCCGTGCTCCGCACAGTAGGCTGCCAAGAGGTCTGAGGAGAACTCACCACCTCTGTCAGAGTGCAGACGCAGGACAGGAAAGTCCGACTGGAACCGCTCGCGGAGCTGGAGACGAGTAGCGCGGATCCAGGGGATCAAAACATCAGGGACCTCCCCCTTGCTGCGCAAGGGGAAGACCGTGGTGTAACGCGTGTAGTCGTCGACGACCAGCAGGAAGTA